CTGTTTGCGATTCAAGCCAAGCCCTAGAGCTTCCTTTTAGCCTCCCTGGCCTGGCTACTTCTAGAATGCGAGGATGGGGACTCTGAAGGCCCTTGTCACTGCACAGCGAGCATTGTTGTTCCAAAACTTTGCCTGCTGAAGAGAATTTTTTCTGCAGAGGTGGAAGCCCAGGCAGGCCTCTTGCTGGCGGGGGGCTCCTTTTTCCTCCACAGAAATAGGTGGGAATGGAAGGCCTGACACCCAGCATCTAGGAAGGCAGAAATAACTCCAAACAAAATTGTAAGAGGGCAAAAAAAAGTGACTGAGGGAGGGAGCGCATCTGTGCTCCTCAGCTGGGCACATATATTTTGTCTGAGAGGAACTTGAGTTCAGAAACAGGGTTCACTTTGCTCTCCCACTCAACACCAGAGGACTTTGGAGCCAAATGACTTCACACCTCGAAGCCTTAGCTCTCTCATCTGCACAGTTAGACCTATCTTCAGCATTGTTACGAAGGTGAAGTAAGACAGTACACCTGGCGCCATGGCAGGTGCCCTGTGTCCCAGGGTCAGTGGGCATCAGCGAGCCATCATGTACACTGTGGCCCTGCAGCATGTCATCCCGGGAGTGCAGTTCTGGGGGAAGGAACTGAACCGAGAGGTAACCATGGGAACCAGTGGCCAACAGAGTCCGAAGATAAACTCTGACCAAGACGTGAAGACTCGGGTGAAGGGTAGAGTGCTGCACTGTTTCCTGTAGTTTTGGGGGACAGGGAGTGTTGGAGCTCAGAAGCCAACAAAAAGGAAGTTCACAGAGCTGTCCTGGGCCCTAGGGTCCCTGCCCCCTGGCCCCCTGGCTCCATGCTGCTCTCCAAATGTAGCCTGTGCACAGCAGGGGTGCACCCCACATCATAGCAGCCTCCCTGCACCCACACGGAGAAGCCCTAGAGCTGCAGCAGCCTGTGCCCGGTTGCACGGGATCCGCTTGGATGTTGGCAGGCACTGTGCGATGCTCTAAGGCTCCCTTTTACCCCAGCCGTGCCAGCCTCAGGCAGGGCGGGATGGGCGACTGTCTCCGTTGCCGCCCTATCCAAGGCATGGCCCACACCCTAAGCCAAGAAACACATCAACTTCCTGGAACTCAGAGCCGTCATCCCAGCTGTCTCATCCTTCAGAGCACAGGCAAGGCCATCCAAGTCAAAGAAGGACGGCGGTTTTGCCCCGGGGTTTGCAGGCAGGAGGAGAGAAGTCTTGGCCAGGGCGGCAGAGCTAGTCTGGTTTGGTTCTGTCCCCCTGCCTGGCCCTTGTTGGGCTCCTGTGAGGCTCAGAGGACCCAGCATCTGTGCCCCTCACCCTCTCACCCTCCAGTGCCTGTGCCCATCAACTGTGCTTGGTGCAGCCCTGCACCACCCGAGGTGTTGGAAATTCCGGGCCTCTTCCACCATCCTAGGCATCTCAACTTACCCCTTCTTTTCTGGGGGCTGAAGGAAGGACAGATTTCAGATTTTGCTTCAAAACCCCTGGGTTTCTAAAGAGGCTGGGACACACCACCCTTTGCTCCTAAAGCATCTTCCCCTTTATCTTTCATCTCTTCCGTGCTATCTCACTGGACCTGGAGACAGGCTCCTTAATCTTCTCTCTCTGGCTTTACAAAGCATTGTCCCTTATCTCCTGGGGGCTTGGGCCCAGAGCTGGCCTTCCTCTGCCCCTCCTCCTCCCAAGGGGACCTCTGCCCTCTCTAAGACATTGTAGTGCTGCCACATTTTGCAGCAAAGCCTGTGGAAATCCAGAAATTCAGCCTCCTGGACCCTCCCCCAAGTCTTAGCCGGTCTTGTTCTCTTTGACCTGTGGGAGTACAGTTTTTTTGTTTTTTTTTTTTTTCCTATCCTGAGGCAGTGGTAATGGAGGTAGGGGGTATCTTGGAGTTTCTTCCAAAAACTGCCCTGTACTTTTCCACTCTCTTAAGTTGTGTGAGTCTCTTAGGCCTCGTGGAACCTAAAACACAGGGTGGTAACCCTGTTACTGAGCTTATTTGAAAGACATTCTCAGTATTCGATTATATCCAAGGTTAGAGGATGAGATGTCAAACAAAGTCAAATGTCACAGCTTGGCCCTTTTGCTCTGAGGTAGAACCCTTCCCCCTGGGTTCTCCATGTTTGTGAGGGGGAAGTGACCGTGAACTTTTTTTTTTTTAAAGTACTGTATCTTAAATGAGAGGAGCAAATGGGTCTAAATCTTAATGGAAGTTTTAGTCAGATTCTAGAAAACTTCAGTTCCAGACATTTGTCTCTGACTTCAAACTGTGGGTTTTGCTTCATTGTCTGCTTTTAAAATTGTGTTCAGAGCCGGGGTTTAGCACAGTGTTTCCGTCACCTGCTTCACAATTGCAAGGTCCTGAGTTCGATCCCAGTACCAAAAAAATAAGTAAATAATAAAAATTATGTGTGCATTTCACTTTTGGAGATCTTAATACAGTATTTCTGGAAAAAAACATGGGGTACACTTTTCTGGACCTCTTTTTCTTTTTTCTTTTTTGTGAAATAGGGTCCCAGTATATAATCAGGCTCACCTTGACTTCATTATATAGTCCAGTCTGGCCACAGGTTTGTGACCCTCCTGCCTCAGCCTCCTGCGTGTTGGGATTTTAGGTTGACCCCACCATGGCCTTGCTGAGACTTTCTTCTTAATAATAAAATTTATGTTTTAAAAACACATGTAATAAGTTAATGAAAAGATGGAAATAAAGTGGTTGTACATGGGGAGGGGAGGAGGAGGTGAAGAGAGGGCAGGGACAAGGGGAAAAAATGAGAACCAAGACTTGTCATATAGAGGTACAAGATCCCAACAATGAATGTAACTGTACTGTATCCCTAAAATGTACCAATGAACTCAAAGCTGAAAAAAAACACACAACACATATAGTAACTATATATATTTTTTGTTGTTGTTTTTTTTTCAATGCTAGGGATTGAACCCAGGGCCTAATGCGCTATGATAAAAGGCAGGGCTTTTATCATTGAGCTATTACCCTTACCCTTCCATTAATTTAAAAATGAATAAAAACAGGAAGAAAGTCTTTTTTTAAAAAAACAGTGTTTAGTTTCTCATTAGGTAGTTGCAAGTTTAAATAGGTGGGGTTGATCTGGGAGGATGCTTTACAGTTTGTGGGTTTCTGAAAGCTGCATGGAAATTTGAACAGAATTGGCTTGACTCATGGTTTAAAAGAAGATGGGTCCTATTATCAAGTGAAATGAGGGTTCTCTTTGGGCCCCTGACCTGGTACACTGAGGAGAATTTCAAGTGTGGAGCGTGTGCATTCGGGTGGGGACACAGAATTTTCATGGGCTCCTAGAGGCTCCTGTCCTAGGGGACACTGGGAACTACTGGGAAGGTGTTGGGTGCTGCTGGGCTTTGGGGTCTGCAGGTCACAATCAGGCTGTCTCTGGGAGTGGCCTCCTTATTTATTTATTTGTCTTTTGTGGGGGGGTGGGGGAGATGCTGGGGATCAAACCCAGGGCAGGCCCTTTGCACTAAGCTTTATCCCTATCCCTCTTTTAATTTTAAATTTTGAGACAGGGTGTTAAGATGTCCCTGCTGAGCTCAAACTATTTTTTCTTTCTTTTTTTTTTTGGGTAACGGATCGAACTTGGGACTTTGTGTTTGCAAGGCAGGTGGCTGAACCTCTGAGCTAAATCCGCAGCCCCAAGCTCAAACTTTTGATCCTCCTTCAGCCTCCCAGAGTGCTTGGATTAAAGGGCTATACATCCACTCCAGCTACTGTTTCTTGATACTTTAAAATCAAAAACTTCAAAAGAGAATAGCATGAATTCGAGTGGAGAGTTCAATCAGTAAAGTGCCAAGAGAGGGAAACCCAGGGCGCATCCTGGTGTCTGGATGAGAGGAGCTGCTTCTGTAGACCGGGCTGTGGTGTCCACCACGTCAGCATAGCTGCAGGGTCAGCTGCCCAATGTGCCGAGGCCACAGAAGAGTCCGAAAATGGATAAAAGTGAGGAAACGTGGCGAGCAGCTGTTTCCAAACAAACATTGTCCATGTGGGCCTTTTCTTGCTTCTTCCCTTTTCTCTCCCAGCCCTGGAGGTAGCATCCAGGGCTCAGGCCCGCCAGGCAAATGCTGTCCCACTGAGCACTCCCAGTGCCTGTTTCCCCAGTCCGCCCAGTTCTGTGCTCTTAGCTGCGTGTGCAGCATCCAGAAGCAGAGACAAATGCTCCAGTGCCGTAGCTTTGGCAACACTGGTCTGGAGCCAGCTCAGGCTCCGAGGGCCATGGCAACCCTGGGCAGGCTTTCCCCGACCCATGAAGGACATGGGTTGTGAAATGCTTTCCGCATCCTCCTCCAGAAAGGAAAAGGTGCACATTTGGTCTGGTCTGACATGCTACAGACACTTCCCTTCACTCAGGAAAACAGTGATAACGTCTACTTTAAGGCCTTCATTACATATTTTCTATTTTCTTTAGCTCTCACCCCCCGCCCACCCCATCTCTGGTTTCCTCTCCCTCCCCACACCCCCTTGGAGACCTGGTCTAACTGTATAGCCCAGGCTGGCCTGGAGCTTATGATCCTCTTGCCTCAGCCTCCTGAGTTCTGAGATTACAGGTGTGCAGCACCATGCCCAGCTTCTTCACCATTTCTGAGGTGCTAAGGATGTCTTTTCTCCTCCCTGCAAGCCTCAGGACCATCAGTATCCACCATCAGCGTGCCGTTCAGTTGGTGAAGCTTCACCTGGAGCCAGCTCCCTGCTGTGCCCTTAGCCTTGTTAAAATGTGCTTGGGGCTGGGCAGTGTCCTGTCTGCCAGGGTTGCACTCAGCTCCCGCCTGCCTGCCTGGGTGCTGATGGATCCGATCTGGGTGGCATCTGATGTCAGCTTGTTTGTAGCCATTGGCAGGCACGGCTGGGCTCCTGTCCTCGTCCATGACCTCTTGGAGGTGTCATGAGAGGACATTACACAGAGGCGGGGTCACTTCTGGTCTCATCCCCTCTAACATCACCTTTTCTCATTGCAGGTTATTGCGACTCTGTGCTCCAGAAGCGGTGGCTTCGAGGTGTGACTCTGCCTGCATTTGGGCTTCTCAGTAAGGAGGGCAGCGTGATAAAGGAAAACAGGTGAGTCAAGCTTGAGCTTCATAGACCTTCCTTGAACTTCTAGAGTCATGGTAATGGTGAATGTTGAATCTTTTTTCCCTCTCTCCCTTCCTCCTCACTTTTTTCCAGGTTGTTCTCAGATGTGGCACAGAGTCACGTTAAAGCTATAACTGTGGTTTGCTTTTCTTTCTTTTTTTTGGTACCGGGGATCAAACTCAGGACCTTGAGTTTTTGAGGCAGGTGGCAGAACCACTGAGCTAAATCCCTGCTTATCCTTCTTGATCTCTTGAACCTGTTATTTGGGGTGAGAACTCGCAGGTTGTCCGAGTTCACAGTTTGCTTCACAGAGAACAGCCCCTCAGGGACTCCCTCCTCTCCTCTCCTCTCCTCCCTTCCTCTCCCCTCCCCTCCCCTCCCCTCCGGACACTTTTGTTGTGATCCAAGGAAAGCAGTGTGTGTACCTGTGTGTGTATGCACTCATGTCTGCACGTGTCTCTTCCTAGAGAGACATCACCCAAATAAACAAGGCAGTTAAAAACAGGAAGAATGAAGCTGAATTGCTAAAACTGTCTACCAACATGCGGAAACTGCATGGAAAGACAATGATTTAGGTTTTTTCCTTTTATTTTGTAATTTTTTTTTCCTGTTTTCTGGTACTGGGGATCAAACTCAGAACCTTGCACTTGTGAGGCAGGCACAGCACCACTGAGTCAAATCCTCAGCCCTTTGCCTTTCATTGTGGCTGAGGCTTTTCTATGTGGGGAAAGATGTGGGAGCTGAGGCTGAATCAGGAGTTTTGTGTTTCGGGGGGTTTTCTTGGTGTGTGTGTGGTACTGTTTGGGGATTCTGGGGTCTTCTGGCAGTATTTTCTAGATTCTTTTTCTGAAAGCAAAGGACAAAACAAGTACTAAAGGTAGCAAGGCTTTACATTTGTAAAGGTAGGAAACAAAAGAAACATACTCTACAGAACAAGTGTGGACCAATTAAAAGTAGGAAATAGAAGTACACTCTGCAGTGAGAGAGGACCACTGCAAAAAGTGGCCAAGAGCTCTATGGCTGCCATCTTTTGTATCCTCCATGCTTCAGGGTGACGTCAGACCTAAGACGTCCTATCAGAAACTTGCTGGGGTTTTCCTGAGAAGAACTGAAGATAACACCCTCTAATTGGTTCCACACACATGGCTTTGGGAACTATTCTGTGCATGTGTCCTGGAACTTTGTGATTGAAAAGTCATGAATGCTTCCCCAGCCAGTTTGGAATGCCCGAATGTTCTGCCTCAGTACTGGGAAATGAACCCAGGACCTTTGCACTGAGCTACATCTCCAGCCCTTTTTTATTTTGTGACAGGGTCTCACTAAGTTGGTAAGTTGCCCATGCTGGGCTCAAACTTGCTATCTTCTGCCTCCACCTTCCAGAGTACTGGGATTAAAACCCTGAGCCACCAGGCCCCGCTGCAAGTCTTGAGTTATATGCAATTATTCCTTTCTCCTACTGTTTAGAAAACCCTTTAATTTGTCTTCACAATGTCCTTTATCAGCTGTCTTAATACACTGAAGCCACACAGAATATGTGTGACTGAGTGATTTATAAGAGTAAGAATTTTGCTCATGGTTCTGGATCCTAGAAAGTCCAGGATGATGGTGCCACCATCTGCTCAGCATCTGGTGAGGTCCCCTTGCTGTGTTAAGACATGGTAAGAGAGCCCAAGGTGCTAACCTGGATGTACGTCTTCCTCTACCAGTGGATCAGTGATGGCGAACCTTTTCAGCTTTCAGTGATGGACAGCCCCCCTGTGGCACGCATGCCATAGTTCACCACCCCTGCTACAGAATCACTAATCTTACCATAGGAGCCCTACTCTCAGGAACTCATCTGATCAGTTTGTTTGTTTGAGGCAGGGCCTTACTGTATAGTTCAGGTTGACTGTGCACTCTCTATGTGGCGCAGGCTTGTACCACCAGGCCCAGATAGAACTCATCTGATCCTAATCACCTCCCAAAGGTTTGCTTCCAAATACCATTAAGGTGGGAATTGGGTATTAAATTTGCATCACATGAACTTCTGAGGGACGCCTTCAAAGCATAGCAACAAGGAAAGCATGTTTTGTCTCTTGACAAAGAAATTTCTGTTTCCAAGATTATCTCTGACCTTTTATTATTATTTGTTTTAACATGGTGATTTGTGTCCACTTTTTTTCCCTCTGCCCCTTTCAATAGGATTCTAGTTTGAGACCTAGCTGGTGGAGCAGCATGGAAGAGCTGTATCCCCAGCCTTTCCATGCTGTTCCTGAAAGCTGTACACACGGAGCTGCTGTAGGGGGCCATTTGTCATATTTCCCGACGTTGGTGGGGAAACTCCATGACGTTGTTTTCACACACGCTCTGCACAGCTGGGCAGAGGAGGCTACAGGATATTAAGATACTACTATAGAGATTCAGCTAGGGGGAATCTTCCCGTATAAAGTGAGGGAGACATGTTATCAGTGGACTCATTAGCAGTGGCCACAGTCCTTTAGTCATAGAAGTACATGCAGTCTGAAGCAAAATTTGATACAGCAGGGGCCGTAGTTTTCCCTTCAGTCATTCTGTGTTTCTGGGTGTTTTCTTAGGTGTGACCCAGAAGCATCTAGACTGGGCCTTCCGTGAATTCTGTATCTGTTTTGTCTTTGGTCAGCTTTAGGTAGAAGCAACAGGTGGGTCAGGTAGGCTCTGAGATTCCTTGTGAAAAACTAAATTCTGTGTATGAGTATGAGCTTCTTGGCTGTCAGGAGTGAGGGTGGCAGCACTGCGGGGGGGGCACTAGTTGGGGATGGAAAATGACACAGAGTATGATTTGGGAAGAGCAGGACTTAGAATTCAACTCCTACTTATGCCACTTGTGTTTTTATGAATATAGTCAGCTGAGACCATGCAAATAAACAATTTTTAGTTTTTCTTTGCTAAGTGAAAAGAGACTCACTGAATCTTTTTCCCCATTTCAGTTCCAGTGACAAGGGATACCAGAAGAAGGAAAAAGTCAGCACAGCGTCATTCCTGCCACGCATGGATGACAGCAGTAGCCAGCGGGGATTTTGAAGTCTGTCATTTGGGGCAGAAATGGAGGTAACTAGCAGCGGGGGAAGAAGGTGGGCCCTCAATTCGCTGGAGTACAGATGTGTCACCAGTGGATTTTTTTTAAAGAACTGGGCTTTTTTTTTTTTTTTTAATGCTGATTTGAAATTGGATTATAATTTTGATAAGGTTGGCTTCTTCAATCTCTTAGCAAATTTGGGCTCCTGTTAAAAATCACTATATTGTAACAGTGGAGTTAAATAAAATCTGGTTTCTCATCACTGGTTTTTAGGTCTAGAATCCTCAAGTAGTAGAAAATGAGTATAGATTATGAAAGGGTGTTAGCCAAGTGGCTGCTCTCAGGTTCCCTCCTTACTGGCTCACTTTCCTCAAAGCTGCTCAAAGCTGTTAGGAAAGGCGGCTCGGCATGGTGGCCCGCACCTGTGGGACCAGCACTGTAGGAGGCCAAGGCCAGAGAATCGCAATTTAAGTCCAGCCTGGATGACTTAGAGACCTTATCTCAAAATATGTATGTTTCTGCTTATTTTTTTTGTTGAACTTTTGTTGCATGTTGTGAGCAGGGTTGTGTTTGTTTGTTTGTTGTTTTTGGAGACAGGATCTCACTATGTAGTTCAGGACAGTCTTTCTTTCTTTTTTGGTTTTTTTGAGACAGGGTCTCACTGTGTAGTTGAGACTGACCTGGAACTCACTATGTAGCCCAGGCTGGTCTCGAATTCACAGTGCTCCTCCTGCCTCAGCCTCCCAAGTGCTGGGATTACAGGCGTGTGCCACCACACCCGGCTTTAGGATAGTCTTGAACTCAGTGTGTGGCTCAGGCTGGCCTTGAACTCATAGCACTGTCTCAAAATATAAAAATGGGTTGGGGATACAGCTCAATGCAAAGGCCCTCCTGAACTCAGTCCCTGATAGTGGGGGAAGAAAAGATGAAGAAAAGCAGACAGACATGCTCTCCAAAAAGAGGTAAGGCCGGGGATGGTCTTGGTTCGCCAAGACCTCGTTAGATGAAAGCTGAAGTCACTGTGGGTACCTCACATGTGTAGATGTGAAGAGGGTAGGGTGTTGGGCATCTCACTAGCCTGTTCACCGTTAGGTTAACTGTAGCCAGCAATACTTGGCTATGTCAGAACCTGAACTTCACCGTGATCTCACCGGTAATTTCCAATCTTCAGATCTATGGCAGAGGCTTCCTAGAGGCGTAAACCCCTGTCCTGATGACATCAAGTCCTCCCGTTGGCTTGGAAGGCTCAGACCTGTCTTCCATCAACACCATGATGTCAGCAGTGATGAATGTAGGGAATGTGGCAGAGAATGGGGGGAGCCCCCAGGGGATCAAGCCCCCTTCAAAGCCTCCAGGACCAAATCGGATTGGCAGAAGGAACCAGGTGAGTGTGTGTGTGCCGGGCTTGTGCCCAGCCCGTTTGGTCTGTGAGATGTGGGCAAAGCCCCTCGGTGCCCCCCTGTAACGCCCAGAGGCCGTAGTCATGCTTCAGGGGCAGGCTTTTCCAGTTTATGTCAGTTTCCCTTTTGTGGAGAAAATTTTCTTTGCTGTGGCTTCAGTGTTGGTGAAACCACCCTTATTCTTTGCCTCATGAATTGATTTAAACACATGCTTTATTCCCGTGATGGCCAAGGTAGTGAACGTGACTTAACACCTCTGCTGTGGTGTGATTTCTTTCCTTCCCCGGTTTTTAGAACTTGGTTTTTGTTTTTTTTTTTTAATAATTTTTTGTGTCTTTAGATTATAGACAGTAAGTAAGCCCTGGCTGCCGTTAAGCTTTGCATTTTTGAAAACGCACAGGATTTAGCTTCAGAGAATCCCACCCACTGTTCTGTGTAGTCCTCTGGAAGCATCGGGAGAAGTGGGAAGCGTCACCAGGGACAGCCCCAGGAGGGTGAGTGCCGCTGCGAAGTCCGCCTCTCCTCCCCAGGAATGCAGGGTGAACGTGGCACTGGGCGCCGTGGAGGCAGGAGGCGTAGCTCTCTCAGCACATCTCTGGAGTCATGCAGTATAAGCTGACAAATGCATGTTTAATGTTTCATGGAACTTCTGGAGAGAGGGTGGTGAATTAATTTTTTTTTATTAATAATTTTTTTCCCCGGCAGTACTGGAGTTGAGCCCAGATGCACTGAGCTATATCACTAGTTGCCTTTCTTCTCCTTCTCCTTCTTCTCCTCCTCCCCCTCCTCCTCCTCCTCCTCCTGCCTACTTCCTCCTTTCTCCTTCCTCCTCCTTCCTTCTTTCCTCCTCCTCCCCCTCTTCCTCTCCCCCCTCTTAAGAGACAGTCTTGCTAAATTGTCCAAGCTGAACTCAAACTTGAAATCCTCCTGCCTCAGCCTCCCAGAGTGCTGAGATTCAGGTGTGTACCACTACACCTGGCTTTTTTTTACTGATAATCTTTCTATGACTCTTTATACAAAATTCTCCGAGCATATCTTTAAATTCTCAGAAGTGGAGCCTCAACCAAGCTTGCTCTCCAGGAAAGGTGGTGCCACCCCTAAGTCCTACTGGTAGTGTGGGACACTGTGCATTTCTCCACACCTTGCTCAAGACAAGGACTCAGCAGTTTGTGATGCTTTAGGGTTGGAACACTGATTGTTTTCTCTTTTTTTCCCTTGCTTCCATGTGCCTATCTTCCTATGGGTGCCTGAGAAAATACTCAGCCCATGTGACTGTGGCCTGAGTTGAGAAGGAACACTAGCTCTGGGAAGAAAAGGTTTATTTCTATTCTCATGTGCCTGTCTCTCCATGTGTCCATCTGTCCTTCCATCTACCCATCTGTCTCCATCACTCAGCCATTTAACAGTGCAGACCCAGCTCCTCCTTCCAGCTGGCTACTGTGCCAGGTGCCAAGCATTTGAGGTGAAAAAGACAGACAGGGTCACCATTGTCATCTTCCGTGCTCTACCAGGAATGAGTGGAGGGAAGGCAGGAGCATTTCCTTAAATAGCAGAGCATTGCCCGGGCACAGGCAGAGCTGGCTCCAGGCCAGGCTCTGGGTCCTGCCCACCGTCTAGAATCCTTGGGGCCACAGGATGCCCACAGCACTCCCCCTGCGTGCTGATCAGAGAAGCAAATGTGCAGGTGCAGCCAGGGCACTTGTCATCCACCTCCTTTCTCCTGAGGATTTGGGGTCCTGGTTTTGGTTTTGAAAGGGAGGTCTGGGCCAGAGAGAGCCTGCTGCACAGTCCCTAATTTTAGAGTGTCAGATGCACAGGGGCAGCATGGGGATGAAGGGCACACCCTCACTGGTTTGCTGGACGGGAGGATGGAGTGAGGGAGGCTAGGATGCAGGCCTGCGCAGGAGCACAGAGTTCCGGGACAGATTAGCCAGGCCCGATGCTGGCCAGGGTGCCAGATTGTTTCATTATGGAATGGTTAGTTATCACATTAGCTGCTAATTTTATCTCGCAGCTCAGGAAATGTGCTGCTCGTCCCTCCCGCAACCGTGTAAGGCTCAGCATCCCCTAGGAGGCTCTCCCAGCACTGCAGTGCTCTCTCCCAGTAGATCACTTTCAGAAACTAGTAAATCTGAGTCCCCCGGGCCTCCCTGTCCCAGGCTGCCTTGGGTTTTCGTGGCCCCATACTGTGGTCTGCGTGGCACCAGCATCTGGTCTCGTGGCCGTTAATGATCAACCCCAGAGTCAATAGCAGTGAACTCTGTGCACCTCCACACAGCTCAAGTTGAGTGCAAGATGATTTCTGAAAGAAGCACCATCTTCTCAGGAGGCCGGCCCCTTTTACTGAGATGAGCCTCCCTGTGTTGCCAGAGTGCTCCCAAACTCTAAGTTCAAGCTATCCTCCTGCCTCAGCCTGCTGACTAGCTGGTACCACAGGCATGCATAAGCCGTTGTGTCAGCTCAGGTTTGAATTTTTTCACATGTATTTATGTAATATCGGTGAGTCATTCTTTAAAAAACAATTTTTTTTAACCTGTAGCTTTACTAATTAATGGTTTGGCAAGAATGCCCCCTAGATTGAAGCTGGCCCTCAGTGTTGGCCCAGCAGTGAGATGGCCCTTGCTTGTGCTCTTCTGTAGCTCGTGGTTTTTTGTTTCTCCCCGGGGGCTCCATCCTGACTGAAGCCCTGGGCTGGGAGGGTGTGGCCCCCCGTTACACATCTGAGAGGACTGGAGAGGTGGATGACTGCGTGAGGGCAGGGGTTTTTCCTAGGATGTTGAGCTTCCTAGAATTTGAGAGAGGAAATATGCGGCTGGCATACCCAGCCCTCAGACCTGCTCCTGCACAGAGAGGAGGCTTGTGGCGCTTGGGAGGAGCCGTCGGTCTGCACAGTGCGGGAAGGGCTGCAGACTGGCACCTTGCGCTCACTTCACCCGTCTGGTTATGGCGCCATTTGTTTTTATGGTCTTCGGGGTGACTTTATTTTCATCATCTCTCATGAGCAACCACAGGGGTGTTTCTTCTCTGTGCCTCAGGGCTAATCCTTTTTTGGGGTCAGACTTTATGTAGCATCATGGTTTAGAGCATGGGTTGCAGAGCAGCTGGCCTGACTGAATTCTTTGCCTGCTTTTTAATCGCTCTCCGCTGGGACAGTTACTCACCCTCAGCACCCTCTTTTCCTCACCAGAGAGTAATGATGCCTCCCTCACTTAGGAGAGGATACTGATGTCTGTGTTCAGAGTTCAGAACATAGTATGTGCTCAATAATGGCTGTTAATCCGCAAGGACAGACGCTTGCCCTCCTGAATGCAAACAAGAGGTCTACTGAAAGGTGTTCAAGGGCAGGAAGTGGTATACAGCCTCGCTTCAGGGACAGTTGGTGTGTCTCGGCCCCCCAGAGTTCCCCACTCCAGCTTGAGCTTCCTGCCCCAGGGTTGTGCCTGGCTCCAACTCTACGCAAATACCCAGTGGCAGTGCTCTCAGTACCTACCTTAGTAACTTTGTTGTTCCCAAACCCAGGCGCATGTTGGTGTCTTCTGGAGAACTTGTGAGTCAGACTGCTGTCTCCAATAATTGTATTGAGAGCTTGATCTAGAAATAAGTATTTCACAAGGCTGGCAAGGTGGCACATGCCTATAATCCCAGGCCTGGGGAGGCTGAGGCAGGAGGGTCAAAGGTTTGAGACCAGCCTGAGCTACACATTGAGGCTTTGTCTCAAAGACAACAGGGAAAGGGGGATGGGATTGATTTCACAGAGCTCCCCAGGCAATCCTGCTGACTTAGAAACTCACTGATGGCCATCTCTGAATTCCCAATTCCTGGGAGAGGAGTGAGAACCTGGACTCGATTTTGGAGACAGAGACAGTGCCTGAGGTTCCAGGAACTGCACCAGGCAGGCCCTCGCAGCTCTCTATGGCTTACTTCGCTAGAGGAGCTATAACAGAGTTAGTGAAGGAAGTTGGCCTTTTCTTGAAAAGGTAAAAATACTGCTTGCAGGAGGCCTGTCGTGTGTGTTTTGAGGGACATGAGATGAGCCCCTCGCCAGGTAGCAGACTGATTGTGTGTTGCCTCGTGGGGCAGTCGCCAGTCAGGGGGCCACTCCTGTCAGTCCTTGTTTCTTGCAAGGCCCAATGGGTGTGAAGCAGAGCCCTGACAGGGCTTTTCCTGTCGGGAGTGTGGGTTTTTTCCTGCGACCTCCATTACCTCACCGTGTTTCTGGGGGCCTTGAGACCTGGCAGGAAATTCTGTCTGGAGCTGGGACAGACTTGGAGACACACAGATTCCATTCTTAGCAGAGTGAGGAGGGGATTGATGCTTATTTCTTCACCACCACTGACAGTTAAGTGATGTCTGCATAACAGAAACACTCCTGTTTATTGAGCACTTACTCTGTCTTTACTGAGCATGTCCTCTGTGGCAGGCCCTGCTGCAGGGCTTCCCACATATTCATTACTGTGAATCGTATCACAGTGTGCCTACCCATACCGCTGGCACAGGAAGAAACAGGGTGTAGACGGGGAGGTGACCAGCCTAAGCTTGGCCCTCAGGCCGGGTGCTCTCAGCTCCCTAGTGCCAGCCCTGCAGACACAGGCTTGCTACAGAAGTAGAGGCACAGTCTACTGCGATCTGAAATTCACCCTCCATTTTAATCTCTTTTTAGGAAACAAAAGAGGAGAAGTCTTCCTACAACTGCCCACTGTGTGAAAAGATTTGCACTACCCAGCACCAGTTGACTATGCACATCCGTCAGGTTGGCTGCTCTTTTGTATTTTCATCTTACATTATTCTTCATTCACAGAGGACAAGGTCTTTGGGATCCCATCTCTGTGATCTGTCAGTGTGAATTGAATCCCTTATGATACGAGGTTGTAGGTACCTATCCCTGTCCTTTTTTTTGGTACTGGGGATCAAACTCAGGATCTTATGCTTGCAAGACAGCCGGTGGCACCACTGAGCTAAATCCCTGGCCCCTGGATCCCTGTTCTTTATATTGGTATAAATTTCTCTCATGCAGCTTGGAGCTTGCTGAACTTGGGATCTTTTCGCCTTTACTCTGAGATTTGTAGATTTATCCTCCTCCCTCTCCTGCTGTAGCCGACTCACGACAGACTGTTGATGAATTGTTGAAGTTTAACACGCTGCTGACCGATAACATCAAGGCGCTGACTTGGGTTTGCATGGAAATGTCCCTGACCAGATACCGGAAGCCAGAGCTCTGCTCGGAATGGGTTTCAGTTCTCCTCCTCTGACAGCAGGCCTGAGTCAGCAAACTGAAGCAGGGATGGGGATGGGGACTCTGCGAATCCTGTTGCACACATCTGCTGCGTAGTTGGAACGCCTTCTGCCACGGGAGTTAATACGCACATCAGTTAATCTGTGTGTGTTTCTCAGAAAGGTCTGCAGAAGCCCCACCTGCCCCTGATCCTCACATGGACATGGAAGGTTACACAAAACAGTGATTTGCCTGTGTTCCTGACTGTGCTAGTCACACTATTGCAGTCCCCAAATCTCTGCCTCGGTCACCTTGAAGGAGGCATTCATTGTGGCCTACAGCTCGGAATGCTTCAGTCTGTGGGCCAGAGGCACAGAACATTTTGGTGAAGGACGTGGTAGAGCAGAGCTGCTTACTTCCTGGCAGATGGCAAGCAGAGATCCAGGGAGAGAAGCCCAAAGGAAGGGGCCTGGGATGAAGTAGAGTCCCCACAGTCCTGCCCGACCCACTCCCCTCATTTAGCCCTGCTGGCTCATTTTCATCACCTCCAACAGGGCGTCACATTCTGAACTTTGCGCCGGTGGCATAACCCACAGGTGAAGTCAGGGCCTTCGTGATCCCAACACCCTCTGAAAAGACACTGGCATTTTAGACCTAAACCATGACACTGATACATTTTGGTCCTTTGGAAAGATACTTAAAGTGAAATTAAAAAATAAATAGCTGAGAAAATGTATTGATATTTATAAAGCTCTAGATCTGCATGTCTGAACAGCTGAGTTTTGCCACCTCCTCAAGGGATTGTGATGATTGCTTTTCCTGCAGCACAACACGGACACTGGAGGAGCTGATCACTCGTGCAGCATCTGCGGAAAGTCACTGAGCTCGGCCAGCTCGCTGGACCGCCACATGCTGGTGCACTCTGGAGAGAGGCCTTACAAGTGCACTGTCTGCGGCCAGTCCTTCACCACCAACGGGAACATGCACAGGTGAGCAAGGCCTCCCCGGCCGCAGGTTCTCCAGTCCTGGTCTCCATGGAGAAAAGCCAGGGACAGTTCTATTTGCCCTTGGCTGCATCGCAGGTTCCCGGGGGCATCTGACAGCTGAGAAACAGGTCCCTGGGCTCAATCCATCGCCCTTCAGGGTTCTTTGGGATGAGACAGTTCTTACCCCATGCTGGCTGCGTTTCTGTTTTTTTGGAGCTTTTTTTTTTTTTCTTTGCACCAGGTATCAAACCAGGACCTTGCTTGCACTTGCAAGGCGGGCATGATGCCACTGAGCTGAATCCCAGTCCTTTGCAATTTCTTTGGGGAGCTTACCCCACACACAGGCGCCCTTGAGGAGGGACGTTCAATTCACATAATGCCGTCTTGTGAAGCAGTGCTTTCACATGCCTTCCAGATTCCTGCAGACCTTACCAAAAGGAAAATATTCTGGGACTTTCATGGAAATAGTTAAATGACCTGGTTCTGGAGCTTCAGAAAAGATAGGATAAAATGGAGAAAAGAACATCTGACAGCAGGAAATTCATTCCCAAGAAAGATGCTCACTCAGAGATGGGATGGAACATGGTGTGTTTATACACAGTGATTTATCCAAAGCAATGAGAAATGTATTTTGGAGTGATTGCTTTATTTTTAAAGAGATTAGAACAGCTGAACATGGTGGTGGACACATGTAATCCCAACACTTGGGAGGCCGAGGCAGGAGTTCAAGGCCAACCTGAGCTGCATAGCAAGACCCTGTCTGAATAATCAAAAAGAACAGGAAACCTTATGTAACTAATTTATAATTGACATGCTAACTGTGTTTGGTTACATATAAATTCAAAGACGATCCTGTTTATTCCACTTAAAACTCATTATATGAGCCAGTGATAATGCACTCGCGACAAGCTGGAACAGGGGTAGTTTCCTGATTTGGGAATGGCCGATTTGAAATCATATCACTGCTGCCGCTTATACATTTTTAAGTTTTAGTGGTGAATGTCAGTGCTGTGGGTTGGGACGAGGATTAGAAAATAATGAATTTAGCACACAATTCCTGACACATGGCTAACAATCAAGAAATATTATCTGTTATTATTAGTTGATGTCCTCTAAAGCCTGTGGATTTCTCAATCTGAGCTTCTAGAAGTGAGGTACGGTGAGGCTCCTTGAAAGGTACGAACATTTAAAGAATTGTTAATCTCATAAATTTCAGTCCTGATGGCTCATTATCTTTCTTCCTATCTCTTTCTCTTGGGGGGTGGTGGCAGTCTGTGACAAAGACTCTATATACTTCAGACTGGCCTCAGATTCGTGGCGATCCTCCTGTCTCAGCCTCCTGAGTGCTGGTATTACAGGTGTACACCACCATGCCCCTTCCTCTCTTCTGAGTGTTTCTGGGTGCAAAGAAGGATGTGAACAGTGTCATTACTTTGAATGTGCTACTTTACATTTTTGCTTTTTTGCTGCTTTGCCACCGCGTTGGCCACTGGTATCACAGTGCCCTCTGTTCTTCACGGCTGTCACATCGCCCAAAGCATCCAGTGCCCATTCTGTGTTTGCCCTTCTCACTGGAGGTTTTGCCTGTTCTTGGGTGGTTTCCTCATTTTCTCCTGTGAAAATCGGCTGAGGGCAGCAGGTGCATTGGTGAGAAGCCCCCCCGCACACACCCTTAGGCTGTTTCTGCCCTGACCTCGGACTGCTTGGGGTCCTCTGTGGGACATTTCTGCCCTTGGGCTAAGTCACTGCTTATTTGGAAAATTTCCATTTTGAGGTGTTGTCTGTGATCAGGACAGGAGCATGTTGAACATACCTATAAAAGGCAGAGTTACTGTCGGCATCAGGGCTGTCTGGCGGTGCATTTTGCAGGTAACCATCCGATGTCCTCCCTGTGGTTCAGGTGCTGGCTAAGCATTTTCTATTCGCTCTGTATGTTTTCCCTCTTCTCTGAGACAGAAGTCGTATACCATTGCTTTCACCCACTAAAAGTGTACAATTCAACGGGTTTTATTTTTGTTTTTATTGTCAAGTGTTAGTTAATTGGCTGTACAGAATTGTATTTACCCCCTCCTCAGTTGGTGGACAGTGGGTGATTCCTCTTTTCGGCTATTATGAATAATACTGTTACGGTCATCCCTGTGTGGCTCATCACGTGGATGTACATTTTTATTTCTCCTGGTAGACGTTTAGGAACAGAATCGTTCAGCTATGTTGTAATCCCATTTTTAGTATTTCGAGAAAGTGCCAAACAGCTTTCCAAAGCGGCTGCCCCATTTTAGGCAAGAGTGTTCTAGTTCGCCTCATTCCTGCCAACATGTGTGACCTGTCTTCTGCATTCCAGCCATCCTATGAGGTGAGAAGTGGTACCTCACAAACTGCATGGTTTCCGTTGTTGGCTTAAGTGTATGATGTGTTTTGAGTGAGTATTTATGTACCATAAGGAAGCAATCCAGGTTCAGTCTTTTGCAGTACTGGCTGAGAAGACATCCCCATTGAACTGTTTCTCTGCCCCTGTCCGTTCAATTCTGTTCCCCTCAGCTGTGTTTCTGTATTTCTGTTGCGTGACTGTAACCACACTGAATTGATTAGTATAGTTTTGGGGTAAGTTTTGTGAAAATGAAGTGTGTGCCTTTTGACTCGGATCTTGTTCAGAATTGTTTCTGCTAGTCTGGATGCTTATATTTCTGTGTGGATATTAGGATTAGCCTCTGCAGAAGAGGACATTGTATGGGGAGTGCATTCAATCTGTAAATCACTTTGCAGGTGTTAGCATCTTAACATTATTAAGTCTTTCTGTGCAGTTATGTGAAAATGTTTTCTGGTAGGGTTTTCCTAAATTTGTTGTAACAAGTTTGTTTGTTGTAGTTGAACCCAGGTCCTTGCATGGTAGCTAAGCACTCTAGCTCTTTTTAAATTTTTTGTTGTTGTTGTTGTTTTTGACACAGGTTCTCCCTATGTAGTTCAGCCTGGCCTTGAATTCATACAGATTCTCCTGCCTCAGCTTTCCATATACTGGGATTACAGGTGTGTGACAGAAAGGCCAGCCTCGAATTTACTTTGAAACAAGATATCACCAAGTTGTCCAGTCTGGGGTCAAACTTGCAGTCCTCCTGCATCAGTCTCCAGAGTAGCTGGGATTACACAGTTGTACCACCATGCTGGGCTTCAACAGTGTTTTATGATATAAGTTTTATATTTATTTTCTTAAATTCATTCCTCTTTTATTTATAGTGATAAGTGGAATTATTTTCTAATTTCATTTTTCAGTTATTGCTAGTATACAGATACAGTTCAAGTTTTATATTATAGATAGATCTTGTTTCCTTTATTTCATTTATTCTTGTTTGTTTAGCACACACAGTTTACCTTCATCTTGGAGTAGAGCATGTACAGAACATAACACATCGTGATTCTTCTCTAGTCCCCTTCCCGCCCACCTGTTCATTCTTCCAGTTATTTAGTGGATTCCTTAGGATGCTCTGTGTAGAAGAGTGGCATTTGCAGGTGGAGATATTTGACTTGCTCCTGTTTCAGCTGGCTGTGATGTAGTTCTTTTTCTTGCCTGTTTTTTCTATTTCATTCATTCAGTGTATTTCCTGCTTTCCTTTATGATTTCTTTGAGCCACTGGTTATTTAGGTTTGTTTGATTCCTGCTGATTTGTGACTTCCCATATTTCTTCCTGTCACTGGTCTCTAGTTCCATCTGTCAGAGTAGGAGACATGCTGTGTAGTTTCAGTCTTTCCGCAGTTACTGAGGCGTGTTTTGTCACCTAACCTATGGTCTATCCTGGTGAATGTTCCACATCTGTTTGAGAAGCAAGAATGTTCTGCTCTTGTTGGGTAGCGGGAGCAGATGTGCTCTTGGATCTAGTTGGTTCACAGCACTGTGAGAGTCCTTGCTGACCTGCGTTTAGTTTTATGTGCTCTGCCTTGAAGCTTCTTTTATAAAATTAATACCCATTTTACAGATGAGGAAAGGAGCAAGCTGCATGCAGTCCCGAGATGAACATGGGCCGTCTGGCTTCGGAGGCCCTGCTTTTGACCGCGTGAGCCAGGACTGACAGACCCTGCCACTCAGTGTGTGAGGAGAAGGTGCCTTCTTTCCCCACTCCCACCAGCTCCACGCTGTCAGTGTTAAAACCATCCTGTCTCTGGCTAGCACAGTCCACTACTGTTTTGAGCCCAGAGCAGCTTTGGAGGCAAATCTTATTGGATGTTGTTTGAGTACACATGCAGAGGCCTCAAAACCATCTTGACGCTTGTAGCATAGCTAGATACATTTCTCATTTATGAACACCATATACTGGAGTTATTTTTACTCTTTGAAGTAGGCCTTAGGGATATTTATTACCTTTGGGTTTTATACTGATTTTATTTATTGCAAGGCATCTGGATTGGAGGAAAGGACTGAATTGTTAAGTCTGCAGAGTTGTGAAAATCTCCTTATTTTCAGCACGCTAACAAAATGGCTTAGTTACAGCTCAGTTAGAAGTTGGGTCCAAATGGGAAAATGCCTCTGCAAGGGTTCTGAGGGCTGAAAGTGTCCCTAGGTCAGGTGGGAGGTTTTCTGAGTCTCTGCCTTGAGATCTGGGACCCAGGTGAGGATCTGTACAAGTGCCCCCCTGCTCGCTGTGTGGCCCTACAGATGACTGACCTTTCTGTGTCTTGGTCACTGCAGCATCTAAGGTGGCCTGGCTGTGCCTAGCTCACGGGGATATTGAGGCAGTTGATGAGTTAATACGTGCCCAGTACTTCGGGTAATAGCTGTTAAATGGTACACATAAATAAATGGCTATTTATATTATTGTTGTTTTATAGGCTAGGGAGGGAAAATACTGAGTAAGCATTCATATAATGCCAGAGACTAAACTGGATGTGTTTTTTATTAATTTGTTTGCTGGCTTTTGGTTGTAGGACATTTGTGATTTAAGCAAAAAATTTTTCTTTAGAATAACAGGGTTATTACACATTGATTTTCTTTTTCTTTTCTACATAAAATTGCA